GGCCGCCCCCGCGCAGCGCCCGCCCCCGCCCGCCTCACGGCGCTCTCTCATTGGCTGCGGGCGAGGAGAAGGCTGGAAATCTCGATATCCATTGGACTGCGCGGCTGCCCATCAGCTCCGCCCCGCCCATGGGGCGGGACAATAGCGCGCGCCTCGCCACCGCCTCCTCCGTTCTGTCCGTCGCGGAAAAGCGGCCGCCCCCCGCGCGCGCCGCGGAGGCGCGTTCCGGGGCAGCGGCGGCCGCGCTGAGCTGTCCGGGCCGGGCGGTGCTGACGGGACCCGCGCGGGCCCCGGTCCCGGTCCCGGTCCCGGTCCCGGTCCCGCGGAGGGCAGCGCGCCCAGAGCGCGCTCGGCTCCACCGGGAGCACCGGGGCGTGGCTCGAGTTCGGGTCTTTTGCATGGCCCAGAGAGTTAAAAAATAGAAATGAAATGTAAATCTAGAGGGGAACGGGCTGTGCTGCAAACACACCGCGCGCTCTGCGCGGAGTCCGTCTCAGCAGAGCAGCGCGGCCCTGCGGAACCGGCACCGGAGCCGGCTCTGAGAAACCGGCACCAGAGCCGGCTGTGCGGAACCGGCACCGGAGCCGGCTGTGCGGAACCGGCACTGGAGCCGGCTGTGTGGAACTGGCACCGGAGCTGGCTGTGCGAAACCGGCACCGGAACCGGCCCTGCGAAACAGGCACCAGTGCCGGCTGTGCGGAACCGGCACCGGAACCAGCTGTGTAAAAGCGGCACCGGAACCGGCTGTGCGAAACCGGCACCGGAGCCGGCTGTGAGAAACCGGCACCGGAACCGGCTGTGTGAAACCGGCACTGGAGCTGGCTGCGTGGAACCGGCACCAGAACCGGCTGTGTGGAACCAGCACTGGAGTCGGCTGTGCGAAACCGGCACCGGAACCGGCCCTGCGAAACCGGCACCAGAGCCGGCTGTGTGAAACCGGCACTGGAACCGGCTGTGTGGAACCGGCACCAGAGCCGGCTGTGCAGAACCGGCACCGGAGCCGGCTGTGTGAAACCGACACCAGAGCCGGCTGTGCGAAACCGGCACCAGAACTGGCTCTGTGAAACCGGCACCGGAACCGGCTGTGAGAAACCGGCATCAGAGCCGGCTGTGTGGAACCGGCACCGGAGCCAGCTGTGTGGAACCAGCACTGGAGCCGGCTGTGCGAAACCGGCACCGGAACCGGCTGTGTGGAACCGGCACCGGAGCCAGCTGTGCAAAACCGGCACCGGAACCGGCTGTGTGAAACCGGCACCGGAGCCGGCTGTGAGAAACCGGCACCGGAACCGGCTGTGTGGAACCGGCACCGGAGCTGGCTGTGCGAAACTGGCACCGGAGCTGGCTGTGAGAAACCGGCACCAGAGCCGGCTGTGCAAAACCGGCACCGGAACCGGCTGTGTGAAACCGGCACTGGAGCCGGCTGTGCGAAACCGGCACCGGAACCGGCTGTGTGGAACCGGCACCAGAGCCGGCTGTGTGAAACCGACACCAGAGCCTGGTCTACGAAACCGGCACCGGAACCGGCTGTGCGAAACCGCCACCAGAGCCGGCTGTGCGAAACCGGCACCAGAACTGGCTCTGTGAAACCGGCACCGGAACCGGCTGTGAGAAACCGGCACCGGAGCCGGCTGTGCGAAACCGGCACCAGAACCGGCTGTGTGGAACCAGCACCGGAGCCGGCTGTGCGAAACCGGCACCGGAACCGGCTGTGTGGAACCGGCACTGGAGCTGGCTGTGTGGAACCGGCACCGGAGCCAGCTGTGAGAAACCGGCACCGGAGCCGGCTGCCCGGCAGGGCCGCTGGAGGGGCCCTGGGAGCCACTGGAGGATCCCTGGCAGCGCAGGGGACCGAGCCGCCGTGCCCGGTGCCCGCAGGGGCACCTCAGGGCACCTCGGGGCCCCTCGCGGCTCCCGGGCGCTCGCTCTGCCCCCGTCCCGCTCATCCTGCTGCTCCGAGCCCAGCGCCGCAGCCGGAGGCGGGCGCGGAGCCGTGGCCGGACGGGCAGGACGGGCCATGCCCGGGCCTGGGCTGGGAGGCTGCTCCCGGCCGTGGACTCCCCGGCTCTTTGTGCTCACGTGGTCCCGGAGCTCTCTGCGTATTTGTGCGGCCTCCCCGGGCCTCCGTGCGCACGTGGCCTCCAGGCCACCTCTGGGCTTTATCGAGCCCTCCCCTTGCCTATGTCTGTAAGTGGCCTCAGGGGCCCTTTGCACATTCACGTGGCCTCCCCAGGCCTCTGTGCCCATGTGGCCCCGGGGTGCCTCCGGGTTTTCGTGTGGCCTTCTAGAGCCTCCGTGGCACCGGGTGCCCTCCAGGCCTTCGTGCAGGGTTCACTTGCCTCTGTGCGCAAAGAGCCTCGGAGGCTTTCGTGTGGCCTCCCTCCGTACACACATGGCATCCACTTTGCAGCCTCACTCCACAGAGGCCTCTACGCTTCCTCCCTCTCCCAACGCTTTCCCTAAGCAAAACACTCCCTGAACTCCATCGTGCAGTCAGGTACAAAGGAACCATCCCACGGCCCAAGGCAGGCCAGACCCTGAAAGCTGCCCCGGGATGAGTGCCTGCCCTGCGCTTCCTTTGACAGGCCCTTCACAGCCTCCCTCCAAGTGCCTTCCTCCACTTCCTCCTCCTCCTACATCTTCAGGGTCCCCCTGGCATCATGTATAGCCAAGGCCTAGTAGCACCCAAGCCATTTCCATCTGGAACATGAAGGGTGTTGGGGAAGGGCCTTGACACAGGCCTGCCCTTTCCTCGGCACACCTGGCCTTGCAGCAGATAGGCCCTGCGCTTCCTCCCTCTCCTAGTCCCACCGCAGCACTAAGGCTCAAGCCTAGCATTGTCAGCAGATGGCTCCCGCGAACAGCAGCGTTTCCGATCCCCAAGCACAAAGGAGATGAAGAGCGAGACTTGACACAGGCCCGCACTCCTCCGGACGTACCCTTTGCAGCCTCCAAGGGGGACGCTGCACTTCCCCTCCTAGTTCTACCCTATCGCTAATGCTCAAGCCTAGGATTAGGCCACGCAGATGGCTCCCACCAAGACACTCTTTCTTACCCGCAAGTACAGAGGAGGTGGAGGATGAGTGCGGGCACAGCCTCCCACTTCCTTTGCCATGGCCTTTAAAGCCCCACTCCAAGTAGGCCTCTACACTTCCTCCCCTTCTCAAAGCTAAGCCTAAGCAAAACACCCCCACAAATCTAGCATGCAGTCAAGTACAAAAGACTTTGTAACACAAAACTAGCCAAACTCTAAGGCTGATGCTCA